TTTGATTCATGAGTATTGCTTCGGATGGATGCATAAAGGCATGGTGATACACCCCAATCTCCATATACTTTGGCTGTCTATGTTCGGGCTGAGGCACCAATCGGCTTATTGTGCGATTGATCGACAGTGGTGATCAGCATCCTTGATGCACACAGCCGTTGCCCTTGCGTCGGAATTGTCGCCAGCTGTCACAGCGTGTGCTTCGAGTGTTTCAATGAGTTAGCAGGGGAAGCTATAAGCTGCCCCCGAATGAAGCGACAAACATTCGAAGTTCTGATTCTTGAAACCCTCCACGACCGGATTGTGGGAAGGGACCCGGGAGGGAATGCGATTAAAAGAAGAAGGTGCCCTTCTTGATTGACGAAGGCTCATACGACATGGAAGTCGTAGACCGCTCCCGCCTGCCAGCCAACAAAGCCAAAGTCCCGAACCCCAAAATCCTCCTCATCTCAACAGCCACCTAACCTTAAGAGCCTAAGCCCGAAGCGATTGCACGCCGTTTCAGCCGCCGAGGTATGCAGTGAAGCCTGACAACCTCAGGAGCCACTGCATTTTTCGGGCCAGTTGTAGGGTTTAGCATACCCTAAATCCTAAACCCTCGCGGGGGGATCGGAGCAGGACATTAGGAGTTTCTAGCACGTTCCTGAACGTTTGTGCGACCCGTCTCACCATGGCTTCACACGTGTGCCGCACATCCTCCTGCGCAAAGACACACAACTTTTGGTAATGCTGGTTTCTGGAGTACTAAACTTTGTGGCTTTGCTTGTTAGACTTGTTCCGCAAAGGAACGAACCACCGTGCAGTAAACGTTTATTTTTTCATTCCAGTTCACTTCACAGCTCAGAATGCCATGTCTGCTGCGCATGACGAACCAGGAGTGACAGACACATCCCTTCTTGAAAGACCATCTTGGTTCTTCTCTTTCAGTGAGTAGCCGACTAGCCCAAACCGAGTTAGCGTCGCTAGGTCGCTCAGCAGAGTCGAAAGCAATGCCAGGAATAAGTTGCTTTGCAGCAGGCTACAGCAAAAGCAACATAAAGAGTCACCAAATGCTGCGGCTTGGTAAGGCTCTGGTATCCGCTGGGTTAGTGGGCACCAGACATTTTTGCTCCAAAATCACTGTCACGATGGCCAGGACAACCAAGGAAGAGGCCGAGAAGTTGATGGAAAGCAACCTCGAGGATTCCTTCAAGGGCTGACTTTGAGGGTTGTCGGGGCTTCGAGTCGAGAGTGTAGCCCAGTTGAGTGGGAAAGCGGAGAGATGATTGCCCGATGCAGAGGAGGCAAGTACCTCGTCCCTCTGCTCCTTCAGCCACTGCCACTGTCATAGCCCTTTCTCAGCAACGATACAGAAGCGGATTGTGAGGGTTCAGGGCTGAAGGCTGCCTAGAACTTCACACTTCGACGCCTCCTGGCTGCAGTAAATGGTTCCCCATGTCATCCTCCTCCGCGCACCATGAATGAAAAAAAGACAACCTGCAGGTCAAGAGCCCCTAAGAAAAATAGACGAACCTAAGCCTCAGCATCTCCCCCAGGCTTGCACGCTCCCAAGCCTTCCAGCCTTAAAGCCATCCTAAACCCAACACCTTGCAACCCTAAACCCTAAACCCTAAACCCTAACAAGCACTCTTAAGCAGGACGTGTCCATCTACAACCCTGCTCTCCAGTCCGAGGTTGGAGGGATACCGGGCGTGGGGTTTAGGAAGTTTAGGGTTAAGGCGGTTAAGGCATTTAGGGTCTAGGCTTCAGGGTCTAGGGTCGAGTCTATACTGGTCTATGGCTTAGGGCCTTAGGGTTGCAAGAGCAACGGAGGCTGAATCTAGGGGATCTAAGGCAAGCGCTGTAGCATGATTGTGCTGCCTTCCATATCTGACCCGGAGAGGCTCCCAGCTCAATCCATAAAGTGCGCAGCACTTTAGATGTAGACTCGCCGAGGCGATCAGGTCTTAGCGTGTAGCATACGATGTAGGGTGTCACATTTCACATACCTGACTTAACCTTCGAAGGATTCCCCCACATGCCCTGTCCTCCGCTCCATGCTGGAGCCTGAGCCATTAAGCGGTGGCCCACACTGGATATCAGATTCTCAGGGTGCCACAATCTTGGTACCCTCTCCGGGCTTCCACCCGCCACCCCAAACCGACACCCTTCATCCGTTCAGCGTCGCCCCCGAACCATGGTGCTTGCGCACCTGAACAGGCACAGAAGCTGCGAGAGTCAGGGGCTCAGACTGGCACCGGGCTTTCATATGCCATGCCGCTTGGTACGCCACCCTCAACCCATGAGCATTGTGTTGAGCATTGTCTTGGAGGCGCGCATCGCGACACAGAGCCCGGAAGTATTAGCAGCAGTATTTCCCTGCAGTCCGCACACAAGCACACCGCGAATGATATCGCAAAGCCCTACTCTAATCATTTTTTGCCTGTTTCAGCCCCCTCAGCCCGGCCCGAGCCACAGAGGCTGGAACCTACAGACTTTCACCCGAGCTGCAGCAATCCCTGCACCCAAGCTCTAGATAGCCCCAAACACTACATCCACAAGGTGTCGAAGCACACTATCTATGTATCGATCTCTCGACCGATCGATCTTTCCATCTGTTTATCTAAATATCCGTCAATCCATCCATCCATCCATCCATCTATCTTTTGACCTATCGATCTCTGGATGTATCGATCTATCCATCTTACGAACTAACTATCTATCTAACTATCTATCTATCAACTTTTTCGATCTGTCTAAGGTATCTACCTGTATATATCTATGTGTGCATCTACGGATGCATGTATGAAGGTAGAGACAGAGAGATAGGGGAGAGAGAGAGAGAGGGGAGAGAGAGAGAGAGATAGAGAGAGAGAGAGGGGGGGGGAGCAAAAACAAAAGTGCGAGCGCAAAGTCTTAAACCCTAAACCCTAAACCCCTGTATTTAGCTTGGGCAGTAGGTCCGGAAAGCTCGACGATCTTCAGAACGATCCTGAGCTCCAGCCCATCTTCGAGGAGATGATCATCTGGCTGGGGTCTTTGAGCGATGAGACATAGTTCCCTTACGGTCCCGATATAATTCTGGTATAATAAATATAGATATAAATAAATAAATACATGTATATATATTATATATATGTGTATATATATATATATGTATTTATGCATGTGTATATATATATATTGCCTTTAAGACACACATACCCCAAAATGCTGTTCTAATTTTCAAGGCCAGTATATCATGCTTCAGTGCAGTGATGTGGGTTACCCCGTTTGAGGCTCAGGGTTGTGGGTGATGAAGCAGTTTATAGGGGCGGATGGCTTCGAGCTTACAGAGTCTCTAGGGGGATATCGGTGCTGTGCTTGAGTTAGCTGAGCCTTGAGGGCAAGTACCAAGCACAGGGGAGGTCCTCGCCTAAGGAGGCTTTATCAGTACTTCATATCCAGACAGCCCAAGATGACTGAAACGAGCCTTTGCCGTCCTTGTTGCTCATTTTGTCTACGACACGACGCCGAGGTCTACCCCACACGATCTGCCATAATGCTGCATTGGAAGTGGAAGTCTTGCCATTTCGTTTTTCTTCGATGCTTCAGAATCTCGGAGGCTGGTCTTGGCCGGGCAGTAGAACGGGTTAGTCCCAAATCAAGTGTCGCAACTCGCGTTGGTTCAAGATGTGCTGGGGAGTTCGTCAAGCCCTGCATCGACACCGGCCCCACATGCCAGTTCGGCAATCTCGGCTTTAGCATTGGTATTCGAAATCCATCTTGGGATTGTTAACCAGGATTTTGATTTGAGCCATGTTCCGACTTCGGCTTTATGGCTGGCTGTTATTTGCTGACCTCGCCTGCGCTGAGATGCACGTGTCTCATGCAGAGGTGGGAAGGGGACGTGGGATTCACACTTGCCCAGTCTGACAGCTTGGGCCACCAGAGGGCGGCATTGGCTTGTGGGTGTCATTCGGGCGTCCGCTGACAAAAATTCTCCACAACCCCTTGTTTTGCTTAGCCATTCCTTTGGCAAATGCATAATTCCTGGCCAACTTGTGTTGCTTGTCTATTACATGGCTCATTATCCTTCAACATACTCCAAACCTAAATTAATAAACCTATTCGCTTGAGCCCTGAGCCCCAGCCCGACGACTGCCTAGGCATTTGCCGATTTATCGTTATTATGATTCATATTTGTCGTATTTTTTGTAGTATTATTAGAGCAGACTGGCTTCTAGTCAGTCGCTTGGCTTCGGTAGTTTGGCTGCGGACTACCAGAGGCTGTGCGGATTGGGGCCGGTTCAGGGGTTTAGGGTTCAGAGGTTTTGGGGGTTTTATGGGCTTATTCCATGATGCTTTAGCTCTGAGGCGTTCAGCTCAGCCCCTAAACCCTATAAACCCTCATAGGACCCCCCTAAGCCCTAAACCCCTACACCCTAAACTTAAACCCTAAATCCCCTTAACCCGCTATTCCAACTGGCTGTTAGCGGACCCCAGCCCGACCTCCAGGCATGGCTGCAACCTTAGCTACGTCCGGAGAAGGGCAAGGGAAACTNNAGTTTCCCTTGCCCTTCTCCGGACGTCGAAATCACCATAATAAAGTAGGGGCCGAAAGAAGGACTAATACACCCCAAAACCCACTTTAAACCGATTCTATAGATTTTTGTTAATTGAAGCAATGAGCCGACTTAATTATCTCTCGTGGAGGAGCAGGATTCAGACAGTTCCAGGCCAATGTCGTGGAATTTGCAAAGGTTGAGGCTTTAGGGAAGAATTTGCAATTTACTTTCTAGAGACCCCTACTGGTAGTTGGCGGAGCCTTTGTGGACGCGTTGATCGTGTGGCCTGAATCATCAGATACCAAAGTACCTACAGTTACATAGTCGCATGATGCATTAGCCAATGCTCTTTAAAAATAGTAATTATTGTTTCTAATGCAAGAGGTCCATGACATGGTGCGTATCACATGCTTGGCAAAAACCCTAAAATAGTATAAACTGTGGCAAAATTGCTGGAAGCTCTGAGCTCGTCATAGCCCTTCAACACTATAAACCTTTCAACCCTAAATCCTAAACCCTACACCTATTAAAAAAAAACAAACCTTAAGGCCTGCGCTCTGTGTGCTACTTAGTATAATATAGTCACAGTATAAAATATCGTGTGGTATAGTTATTCCCCTAAACCCTAAACCCTAAACCGTTATTTAGTTTAAAAATCAACAGGTAATGCCAGGCCCAGAGCTTCCTCCCTGCGACAACTCGGAGATCAAGGCCACTTTGGAGGAGGTTTAGGGATTAAGGGTTAAGGGGCTTTGGGGTTTGGGTTTTAGGGTTTAGGGCCTAGGGTTTAAGGGTTTATAGGGTTCGTAATTCTCTCAGGGTCTTGGCTTTCGTTGTGTTTGAACATGATTTCCGGGTTTAGCGCTGCTTGGGGCATCTTGAGGCTTTAGCAGTGTGGGTTTGGGCCTTGTATATGGGCTTCGGGTGTAGGTGCCATGCAGCCCAATCCAACTTTCCCCAACTCCTTCACTCCTTTACCCTGGAATGGCAACGTGTCGGCAAGGTTCTGGGATAAAATGAAATCCATGAACCACACGCTGAGGGACCTCAAAGTCCTTCCAAAGTTGAGACTGAACTCTCCGCAGGTGGCGGAGGAGTGCCCCAATGCAACCAGCTTGGGTCTTGACTGGTCAAACTTCTCACAGCAGTTCCTAGGCCGCATCCAGACAGTGTTGGGTTTCGGAGTTTGGGGTTTAGGCTTTGGGGTGCCGTGAAGGGTTCATATCATCGGGGCTTCAGTAGGCTTTCGACTCGGGGTGATGCTCGGTACGAGGTGTTAGGCTTGCGGTCGAGGGTTTTCTTTGTTGTGGGATTTCCTAGTTCCCAGCTCTATATTTCTATGGGTTTTTTTGGTGACTGAATGCTGTTTGCACCTGGACCAGGCCCGTCAAATTGAGGGTTCGTCCTTCGGATCCGTGTTTTGGCTGCTGCTTTCACATTCATCGACAGTCAGCATTGGAGCTGTGAGATGCGATGCTGCATGTTCCAGGGTTCAGGAGTTAGTCTTTGGGCTCTCATGTCGTCTGCACATGTATGGTGGCATCTGCTGGGGTTTCCATGTCGCTGTCTTTCCTGTTATGTTCGCTCTTCGCTGCGGCTGCACTATGTCTAAACAGAAATGTAAGGATAGCCTTTCACTCTGGAACCTGCTTTTCAGCTTTAACAACAGCTGTGTTCCCCATTTTGCTCAGATGCTGATGCTCATGTTGTGTTACTGTGGGGCCCTTTCAGATGCATGGACCACGTTCCAGCTGATGCTCACAATGCTTGGTTCGTGGGGTCGGTTTCGCTGGCACACCGGAGCCGTTGATGCTCATGATGCGTGGCTGCAGAGGCCCGATTTCGGTCAAAGACATGGAAGCGGTCCGAGCTGCTTGGTTGCGAAGCTCGTTTTCGCACAGATGCTTAGGATCGGTCCCAGTTGATGGGTTCGAATTCGATCTACTAGATACACTGATGCTCATCATGCGTGGTTGCGCGGTCAGATGCAGCGGAGCGCTCATGATGCGAGGTTCAATCTCGACTTTGCCCCAATGCAGGTGGTCTCGTGTGCGCAGTGTTTGGCTCTGTCCGAGCATGCCTGTGGTGTTCGATCTCGGGTCACCTACTCCAAGGGTGATGCTCACAATGCGGCTGTGGTGGCCGATGTAGGTACGGCACACCGAAGCGGAAGCGATCCCGGCTGATGCTCATAATACGTGGTTCTGGTTTCGGTAAAGCACACCGAAGCGATCCCAGCTGATGCACATGATGCGTGGTTCTGGGGGGCGGCAGTTTTCGTACGGCACACCGAAGCGATCCCAGCTGATGCTCATGATGCGTGGTTCTGGGGGGGGGGGGCACTTTTCGTACGGCACACCGAAGCGATCCCAGCTGATGCTCATGATGCGTGGTTCTGGGGGGGCACTTTTCGTACGGCACACCGAAGCGATCCCAGCTGATGCTCATAATGCTTCGTTCTGGGGCGAAAATTTCGGCAAGGCACGCCGGAGCGATCCCAGCTGATGCTCATGATGCTTGGCTGTGGAGGCCGATTTCGGTAAGGGACACCAGAACTTGTTTGGATACCTAGGCACGGTGCCAGCTGATGCTGACAATGTTTGGTTAGAGTGCACAGTTCCGGTCAAATGCACTTGTAACCCAGCTGATGCTCATGATGCTTGGATGCACCGAAGCGGTCGCAGTTGACGCTCATACTGTTTGGTCGCGGTGCCCGATTTCGGTCAGGTATCATGCTCAGAATGCTTGATTGCGGGGTATGGCTGGCTTACATCTCCAAGAGCATTCCCAGCTGATTCTCACAACGTATAATGCACGGCTGCGGCTGCCGATTTCGGCCAGGTACACCGGAGCGGTACTGGCTGATGCTCATGGGCTTGCGTCGCTGTGAGTCCCAATCTCGCTCAGATCGGTCTCGCACTCTACATGATCTTCCAATTTCGGTCAGGAACACTGGGGCGGTCCGTGCTGATGCTCAGAATGCTTGGTTGTGGGGCCCGATCTCGGTTACATACTGAGGAGTGATACAAGCTGATGCCCATGATGCGTGATGGTGCGTGCCAGTTGCGGTCAAGTACACCGGAGCGGTGCTCGCAACACCGGTCTGTGGGGTTCTGGTTCTGTTTGATACAACGGAGCACCAGAGCCGTCCGAGCTGATATTCAGTCTTGGAGAGATATTTACGGAGCTTTGCAGCCGATGCTCATGATGCGTTGCTATTGGTCCGGATTTCGGTCATCTTATTTGCAAATTTGGGGCTGGGGGCCGGATGACTTCTGAGTAGGGCTTGCTGTTGAAGTCGGGCTCAACACCCATAAGAGTGATTGAAATTTTGTAGCAGCCCCTCCTGTAGGAAGAATCAAGCGCTCTTTGAATCTCAAGGCTTTTTGCTGCTCGTGCTCAGCTGTTTGGCTTTTCCCTATCACTTGCTGCAGCCTGGCCTCTTTCAGACCACGCGTCGCCAGCCCCGGTCATTGTGATTCGTATTTGAGGTCAGCATAATTGCTACCCAGTACCGTGGAGGTTATCACGAACAACTCTAGAGCATGCGCAGGAGACGTGAGAGGGTTCTGCAGCTTACGCTACGCACTTGTGGTGCGCTCGGTTGCAGGCTGTTCCGAGGCGCAGGCTTCTTTCGCCGGCACCGTTTGAAGATGGTCAAGGAACTCACCGGTAAGCCTACTTGACAATGTAACTGCCCGGAAGCCCTTGTAAGGGTTCCCCGATGAAGAACGTAGTGCCAAGAGAAAGAAAAGAACACCTTGAACTAGCAGGAATACCCTGCGTAAAGCCCCAACCTAAACTGAAACCTATTCCCCCAAAGCATGAGCAGAAAACTCTTGCAAAGCTTTGCGAGCTTTACGTAGATTGTTGGGGTTGTAGAGACCCAGGCACATGTCATTTCGTTTGGAATCCAGACATTGGTTAGTCGAGGTTTCAGCCGTGCACAGGCTGCTTTCACAAGCGACCAGCAAGTGGCACGGATGCACAGAGTGATTTGACTTTAGCGCGGTGCCGGCTCCATAGCAACCACTTTGGTGCTGTCAATACCCAATTATAGAAGCAAGACTCCCTGAGCCCTTCGACTAAGAGCCCGGGACCTACGAGAGCTTTGACGCTTCAGCGTTCACCGACAAAGGTTTTCAGACGCTTTCTCTTGCACTGCTGCAGTGGTCAGCACCTACTTCACTTTGGCAAGATTTCTGGTTTTGCAGGGCCGCTTACGGAGGGCGCTTGCCTTCCTTCACCTTGGCTTTATTTTTGTTCGAGACCGTGGCTTCAGCGAATGCTCAACTTGGCCCGCAGCTGGTTGGGATGTCATGCTGGCCGGCAGGTCGTTAACCGAGAGAGTCCGCCTGCTAGATGACGAGTCTGTTCTCAAACTGGAGCCTGGCCACCGAGTCGAAGGTCTTCGCATCGCCGTTGTCACTATCTGTGCATATGCAGCAGATGCCCCTGTGCGTGTTCTGTGCGAACAAAACCGCCAAATCTACAAGGCGCTCCACGGTTATGACCTCCATTTTTTTACGGACGCCGCGCAGATTCTGCCGAACAAGGCGGCCCGCATGAATGTTCAAGACGGAATTCACAAACCCTTTTTCTGGAAAGTGATGCTCGGCTTTTCGTGCAAAGCTTTCTTTATTAGGCGGACAGTCGTCTTCCTGCTGCTTGTAAATCTGAATGCCAGCGCGGTACTGATTACTCGACGCTCGGAGCTTGGATCTCAGGAATGCTGTGAAGAATATCCTTGACACGAATAAGTATGACTGGGTGCTGTGGATGGACTGCGATGCATTTTTCATGGATCCAGGAGCAGCTGTGTCATGTAGTAGGAGGATGTGTGGGGTTTACGGATCAAGGTTGTGATCTTTGCTACCATAACTTTCAGCTGCCCCCAAACCCCAGAATCCAAAAGTTGACAAGACCTCATCCAGCGCTCATGTGAGGCTTCTCTGTTGCCTGCCATCTCAAAGCGGTAGACCCGAAGCCAGGCCGCACCATCGATTCCGTGATACAAATGTACAGTGGCAACTTAACCTCGGCCTCGCGGCTCCCTCCTCCCAGCTGCCTGGCTTTCTCAGCTTTGAGCTTTAACCGGATCAGTGTTGATGGTTACTTGTTCAGTTCCCTGTAGGTGTCTTTCTTGTAGCAAGATTGGAGTAATTAAGATAGCTGACTTCTCTGAACAACGAAAGGCCGAACTGGAAAATAAGTGTGCCAGCAATGGTTATGGACCATCGCAGCAGCAGGACTCGGCTTCGTCTTCGCGTCGTCGTCGTCGTGATCGTAGTCGCAGTCGCAGTCGCAGTCGCAGTCGCAGTCGTAGTCGTAGTCGTCGTCGTCGTCGTCGTCGTCGTCGTCGTCGTCGTAGTAGTAGTAGTAGTAGTAGTGCTTGTTCTTGCTAGTTCTTGCTATTGTTACTGTTACTTTTTTCATTGTTGCTGTTGTTGCTGTTGTTGTTGATGATGTTGTTG